GGCAGGAGAATCGTTGCAAGTTTGAGACCAGCCGGGGCTATTAAGTCAGCCCAAGGCCAACCTTAACTACATAGTGAGACCCTGTCTCAAAAAGACAAAAAAAAAAAAAACCCACTTTATTTTCATATATCATAAAAATAAAATAAAACTCCCCAAAGGAAACATCCAAAGTAAAATTATTAAAGAAGGATATCAGCTGTAAACAGAGGAGACTAAAGTATGGCCTAGAGAGAATCTGTAGAGTGGAAAGGAAGTTTTCTTGGTGATAGGTTAGTGATAGGGCACAGGTGATTAAGCAGTGTCTACCAAAGCATGGCAGAGCTACGCTTGGTCCAGAAGAACACCTGAATTTCTCTTGTGTCCCTGTCCACCACCATACCCTCCACCCCAAACAGCTTTAGCTATTGCTCATCTCAGGGCCCAGGGACTATCAGCATCGCCCTCTCACAGTACCCCAGTTCGGATACATTTGTGTGCATATCTTTTATATTTTCCAATCTTTCTAAAATGTCATAACATATACCAAAAATACAGTTTACCATCTTAACCACTGTAAGTGTGCTCTTCAGAACTATTAAGTACGTTGATAATCACAGCATGTGATACTACCACCATTCTGCTTCAGAATTCTTTTCATCTGGCCAAACTGAAACTCGGAGTCCATTAAACAATAATTCCCGGGACTGGGGATTTAGCTCAGTGGCACAGCGCCTGTCTGGCAAGTGCAAGGTTGTGAGTTTGATTCCTGGTACCAGAAAACAAACAAACAACAACAACAAAAAAAAACAACAATAATTCCCAATCTCCCTCCTCTCAACCTCTAGCAGTCATTATTGCCCGTTCTGTCTCTGTGGTTTTTGACTACTGTACGTACCTCATTTAAATGGAATCATAGGGCCGGTGATACTGCTCAGCAGCACAGCGCCCGCCTGGCAAGCGCAAGGTCCTCAGCTCAATTCCCAGTACCAATAAATAAGTAAATAAATGGAATCATAGAATATCTGTGTTTCTGCTTTGCTCTTTTTGTACACCGAATGTCTTCAAGCTTCATCTGTATCGTGGCATGTGTCAAAATTTCCTGCCCTTTGAAGGCTAACGGCCCACTTTATGTATATGCCACATTCTGCTTGTTTATGCATTCCTCTGTGGACGTGTGGCTTGCTTCTGTGTTTGAGCTTTCATGAATAATGCTGCCGTGAATGTGGGTGTAACATAGCTCTTCGAGATCCTGCTCCCATTTAAGTATTTTGAGGAACCACGTACTGTTGTCCACAGTGGCCACTCCAGTGTCCATTCCTACTCTCAATAGTGACTACACATCCTCCCAAACACTGGGTATTCCCTGGTGTTTTAGTAGTTGTTGTCCCAGCGGTCTGAGGTGATAGCCCATCGTCATTTTGATGTACATTTCCCTAATGATTAGTCACATTGAGCATCATTTCCTGTGTTTTATAGAATTTCTTTTTGACTTGCTGTTGTCAGTAAGAGTCATGGTGCACGCCATACCTGTATAATCCTCCTTTATAACACCCTGCACAGAGCACTGAAAATTAGGCACTGAATAGGGGGAATGTAATAAAACTGCACAGTTCAGCACATGAGCTTGAGGGTCTCACACAAACACACGAGTTTGTTTGACTTCTAGTTCCGCACCTACAGGCCACTAGCAACAGAACCCTGAGCGAGTTACACCCTTCTCTGAGTTCCCAGGTCTGTAAAATGAGGAGGCTAAAGGAGCCTGGGTCGCAGAGCTGTTCTGAGGATTAGCGGAGCTAATGCAGAGTGGCACATCTTAAGTGCCCAACAAATGCCAGCAGTTGGGGGTGTGAATACAAGGAAGTCATGGCTACCAATCAGTCTTGGCGGACATGCTGTCAACACAGTTGACCTTGGCAAATATTGTAACTGATACTTATTTTTATTTTCAACACTGTTGAAAACATAGTTAATGATATGGAAAGACTTATCAAAAGCACCCTTCCTTACCCACTTTTCAAAAAATAAACAGCAAGCTAACACTCCTCTACTGTCACATCCCAGGCCTATTTGTAGAGGTAAAAGAGCTTTCATCTATTTTAATTTTTTGTATTTGCAGCTATTTTTTAAATCAGCCTATGCTGCTATTGACTGACCTGTCAATTTTAGACACTATGGTAAATGAAGATTTAGCTCTCTGAACACCCCACTCCGATGTCACAACTTTGGGTCAAATCAGTAATGAGTGTTTGCATTTTAATAACTATGTACATCTTTATTTTCCATTCATTGGTTGTTTCTCATTATATTTGTTTTTCTTTCTTAGATGCTGCTTTCTGTTTTGACAGGAGTTAACCATTGCCTTATTTTTCATATAGTTGTTATTCTTTATGCTTTTTACTTTTTTACAGTGTATATATTACACATGTTTTTAATATCACTTTCCAAACATTTACACCAAAGAGATGTTTCTTTTGTCATTTTCACTGATGCTGCCCCTTCTGGAGTTGTTTGTATCTTAGCTCCTTGAAGACATTTTTTCTGAGACCTCTCTGGTTTTGTCCCTGTATGATACGGTGACCCTGATCCTCAAGCCTTATTTCTTCTACTTTTCTTGATTTGTGACCTTGTTCTGGTGAACTGCATCTTCCAATAATTCCTGAGCATGGGTGAAGCAGGGAATAAAATTCTAGAGCCCTTATGTGTCTGGTAATATTTTCAATTCATCCTTCACATTAGGTTTTTGATGAAACTGGATGTAGAATTCCATCATTTTCTCTTAGGAATTCCAGGGTACTGTATTGTTGTTTTCCATTAGTATCCAATATTGCTATAGAGAAGTCAAATGTCATTCTGAATTCAATATCTTCTGTATATGGTCCATTTTCCTTTTAGGAGTTTTTAAGACCTTCTTGTTCTGAATGGATGTGTGTGTGTGTGTGTGTGTGTGTGTGTGTGTGTGTGTGTGTGTGTGTGTTTTAATCCAGTCTGCTGAGGATAAGATGAATCTCAACCTAGAAATTCATGGCCTCTTATTCTAAATTTTTTTCTTGTATTCCTCCCCCCTTTCCTCTGTTCCTCTGAAACTTCTGACCACACACAACCTTGTGGGCTGATTCTCTATTATTCTCAAACCTAACATTTTACTGGTTCAATATAATTTTTTAATCTTCTGTTTAATTCTTTAATCTTTTACTTTACATTTCATATTTTTAATTTCCAGGAGAGCTTTTAGTTCACTAATGAATCTGTTTCTATGGCAACTTGTTTTATGGGTGCAATATTTTAACCTATCTCTCTGAAGGGTTGTAATTAGTTGAATCTATATTTTAACTTAACTTTCATTTTCCTTCCATTTCTTTGCTTTTCACACTACCAAGAGTTCTTTATTTACTGTTTCATGTTGGAAGTTTCATCAAATGTGCTCTCACCTTTTATAATTAAAATTGAGGTACCACTCAATTTGTCAGAAGCTGTGGGCTCATGGTGAGGACCTGATCACTGCCCATCCCTGGAAGCCAGTCCGGTGATAAGCTGTATTTTTGCCAAGGAGCTCCCAAAAATAAGGCACTGAGCTGTTTTCTCTTGGATACATGGGCTTCTGCAGAAAGGGACCTTCCAGTCTTCGGTGTGATGTAGGGTATAGGAGCTGATGTACACTCGGCTGCTGGCGCTCCAAGAGGAGAGCTAGAGTCTCATTTGCGACTTACTCCATGTTCATTTTCTAGGTGGTCACTTCCCTGTATGCTGCTGTCTCTATGTCTCTTTCACCTAGTGGACTAAGTCTCCTGGCTACTTGGAACAGGAAAAAAGGTTCTTACCATCCAAATTCCCTACATTCTGAATTTCACATGCCCATCTGCTGCTAACTGTAGTAGCACCTGCTGTCTCCACACCTCAGCCTTTCTATAGTTCTTCCTAGGAAAGTGACTCGTTTCTCCCTGGTACCCCCACCCCCACCCCGCCTAATCACTTAAGTTATTGCTTGCTCCACTCTGGTATGTCGATTCACACTTCTCCAGATATTTTCCATTTTGCAAAATTGGTTGCAATTTCCTCTCAAATATCTCTGTTCTCTTTTCCCTTAGTCTCTGTCTGTTTCTACTTTTTTAAATTAAAGTAAAGTTCACATAACATAAAATTCAGCATTTTAATCTTTGAAAAGTGTTCAGTTCTGTGATGATTAGCTCATCCGTGGTGTGGTACACCTGTCTATCTATCTAGTTCTGCAGTATTTTCACCATCCCGGAAGGAAGCCCTGTATGCATAAGCAGCCCCTCCCCATCCCACCTCTCCCCTCACTCCTGCGGGGAAGCAGTCTGCATTCATTCTGTCTCTCTATGGATTTGCTTATTTTGGATTTTCCAATAAGGAAAATCATCCAGTCAGGCAATTTGTGTCCAGTCTTTCACTCAGTGTGATGCTCTTGAAGATCATCCATGTTGTAGTATTTATCAGTACTTGATTATCATAGCTATATAACAATTCATTATATGTCAATATCATATTTTGATCGGCCATTCATCAGTCAATGGACAATTTCTATTTGGGAAGAGGAGGTAATAGATGTCAGTGCTCAATCTGATTGATGCGTTTAGCCAAAACAGTGTTACCAAGTATTAGAATAAGCTCCCTCTTGCCAACCAGTCAGCAATCTGACTTTTATTTTTGCCTTTGTTTGGAAAATAAGCTGTATTCCCGGTGCTTATTAAAGTCATCACCATATCTGAGCTATCTTATCTGTGTCACAAATAAAAATCTTTTGCTCCTCCCAGGCCTGGGATCTCCAATTAATTAAAGAAACTTCCAGAAAGTCGTTTGGAAAGACAATCTCAAATACAGTGGCATCTCAGTTCATGAACTTAATTTGTTCCATGATTGTGGTCATGAACCAAATTGGCCACAAACTGAATCAGATTTCAAAGTTCAATGTAAATAACATAAATTCATTCTGAACTATATGTATTTTTTAACCACAAAAATATGAAACAAAGTACAGCACAGTATAAAGAGAGAACACTAACCTTGCTTGAGGAGACTTCTGGTGTGGAGGCCAGGAAGGTGGGTGGGGAGGAGGTGGATGGTTTTGGAAGGCAAGTCCCCCTCCATAAGGACACTGGGAGATCTTCTTCGGGGGTTTCTTCTCTTCTTTGTCTCAGCTGCAGGATCAGTGTTGATGAAAAATCTATCTAATGTCACTTGATTTTTCCTGCACCACACAGTCCTCTGGAAATGAGAGACTAGGTTATCGTTCATCAGATTCCACACTCTGCTCCTTATAGTTACGTTGGGCTGGTATGTCTCAAAGAAATCCTTAAACTCATTCCATTTTTCCATAATGGATTTTGTCACATTGCTGCTTTGCTGCTAGCCTCCTCTCTGCCTTTCTCTTCCCCAGTGGAGTGCTGTTCAACAAGCACCTTCTGCTGCTCACTCTGGAGTTCAGCAAGTTCCTCCACCATCAGCTCTTCCTTATGGTCCTCAGCAAGCTCCTCTATGTTTGCACCACCAATGTCCAGGCCCACACTCTTACCCATGGACACAATCTCCTCCACCACCTGTCATCAAACCCTTCAAAGTCACATTCAATGACACATTCTGGGCACATTTTCCTCCAGGCTGAGTTCAAGGTTCGGTTTGTGACATCTTCCCAGGCTTTGTCATTGAGGTTTGCAGAGTGGGGGACATGGAAATGTCTCTTCTGGGGACAAGGACGCTTCTTTAGTGGTATTAAAACACCTGCTGAAGAGCGCCTTTGTGCACAGCCTCTTGATGTTGCAGATCACTTGCTGGTTCGTGGGTTGCAGAAGAGGCGTTGTGTTGGTGGGGAGGAACATGGCCTTTATGAAGTCATAGTGTCATATCATCCACCGATGTTGGAGGGTGTGCCAGGGCAATGTCCGTCAGAAGAGGCACCTTTCTGTCAGTTGGTTGTCCAAAAGATATTCCTTAGAAGCTCATGGGAACACCTTGGGTAGCCATTCCGTGAACGACTGTCTTGTGACTCGAGCTTTCACATCGGCCCTCCACATACAGGTAGTCTGGCCTTGTGCACCTTCTATTCCCTGAATGCATCAGGGGTCTGGGAATGGTACACCCGTAGTGGCTTAGTCTTCAAATCCGTGCTTGCGTTCATGCACAGTAAAAGGGTCAATCTGTCCTTCAAGGGCTTGTGCACCAGCAATGCCTTCTCCTCCTGATGATACAGGTTCTCTTTGGCATCTTCTTCCAGAAGAGCCCAGTTTCATCACAGTTGAACACTTGCTGCGTGGTGTATCCTTCTGCCTTCATGAACTCTGCTAATTCTGTCTTCTGGGCTTCTGCAGCAGCCTTGTCAGAACGGGAAACCTCACCATGTCTTCTCACACCGTGGATGCCACTTGCCTTGCAGAATTTAAAACTACCCTCTACTGGCTTTAAATTCATCACTTGTTGCACTCATAGAGGGATTTTCTTGCAGTGAATCACTATGCATGTCCTAGTTTTTTCACAGATCAGAGCTTCACTAATGCTGTCACCTGCCAGCTGCTTCTCATTCAAACACACTAACAAAAATTTTTCCACCTCTTCCAGCACTTGTGTCCTCTGCTTGGTTAACATCATTACTGCCTTAGCCACCTCCACTCCTTTGATGACATCTTTATTCTTCAATACAGTAGGTACTGTGGACGTCACCATCTTGTACTCTGAGGTCAGATCAATCAAATAAATACCATGTCATGCTTTTCTACAATTTCCTTCTTCCAGTCAATGGTTATTTTTTTCAAAACCTTCTGCTTACCGTACTTTCTCTGCACTTTTTCGGAGCCATGCTAGATGGAATACTACTGCACGGTACTGTATGTGCTACAAAGCACACAAAAGCTTCATGGCAAGTGTGCATGGGTCTGTCTGTGACCGTGACCTCAACTAGAGGAAGCCACGACTCTGACTAGAGTGGGGAAGATAGCCATGGTGTGCCTCGCCACCCAATGCAGAGTTTGCAAATGGAAGCAAAATTTCTCTGAGCACTTCTGTTCACAAACCGAATTGTTCATGAACAGAAGCATCTGAGTATGGAAACATTACTGTAGTTTGGAAGAGAATGACTGTTTACCTATTAGACACATGCATTTTAACCACAAGAATCTGTATAATGAAGCATAGATCTTATAAAGTATTTCAAACCCATAGAATAATAGTTTTGTATTAAAGAACAATTCATGGAGAAATGGTATTTTAAGAGCATGTAATCTCACTCTACAAACTTCATACTTCATAGCCTAGTATTAGAGACAAATAACTTTGAGACATGAATAACACCCCAATTGGAAAAAATGTCATGAATAGATCAGTATAAATTCTGAGGTTTGTTCATTTTCACATTGTCTCAGGTAGACACCATGATCTATAAAAAAAAATTTTTTAAGGTTTGAAATATGCTAATGTGTCAGAATTGCTAAAAAAAGGCGGGGGTGGAGGGGTCAGGGAGATAGCTCAGCAGCATAAATGCCTGCGCAGCAGGGGCAGGAGTTCAATTCCTGGTACCAAAAAAAAAAAAAAAAGAAAAGAAAAGAATTGCTAAAAAAATTAATCCTCAAGACAGTGCTGAGAATGGAAGAGTGTGAAGAAATATCTCTAACTCTTGAGTCTATTAAAAATATAAAATCGGAAGAGTGTGCGTACTTCCCAAAGGTCCAGCCCACAAGGTTAATGGAAACATAAAATACCCCAAAAAAGAGCTTAACGTGGATTCCTATTTTAATGGGCACAAGCTAACCTTCCTTTGTCTTGATCTTGGAAAAGAGAAAGTCTTTTCTCTGCAACTTGCCTGGGATGCCCAGGGCAGTTGAGAGTCAGCCCTTCCCAGGATCATTTGTGGCAAAAATTCCTGGACATGCTCATTCTCAATGCCCCTGCTGACCTGGTTTGGGTATTAACTCCAGGACTGCCCAAGCATTTGAATTTGATCCTGCAACATTTGCCATTTCTCATGACAAAGATATGAGGTATATGATGAATAAAGCCCCAGAAGGCCACATTCTAGCCCCTGCCCCTGGTCTTCAGAAGCAAGTTCTTTCATGTGAGCATCAAATGCTACTGTTGGACCAATGGTCTTGCAGTGAACAGAGCTCTTAGTCTGTCCACTGGGTCAGGGGTGCAGGCAGGCATAGCACCAGATTTACAGAGTCAGAGCTCCAGGACCACAAAGGACAGCCCAACAGCAAAGCAGATCAATAAGACAGAGAGGCCAGGAAGACAGACAGGATGCAACAGGTTAGTTGGCATATTTGACACATGGCTCAGGAAGGGTTCTTAAGAAAGACAGGTGCAAGTACTGATGACGTTTTTCAGGTAGGGACTATAAAACGTTTCAACTCATCATAGTCACCACCCCCAGTGTGTCCATTCCGGTAATAGTCATTGTACTATTACCATCATCATCGATTCAAATAAACTGAGTGAGTGATAATACATACACCATGCTGTTCATCACACCCAACATGACCGTCCCTGTAACTATCGTCACGGCCTCACTATCAGAACCTCAACAAGCACACAGCAATGCTCGAATAAGTACAAATGTGTGCATTGTGCTATAAAAGGAGATTAAAAATGTATGCTGACCCCAGCCCATCAAAATTATGCTATAATCCTCATCAGTATCATGAACTCAAATGTATTGAATGCTTACCATGAACCAAGCACTATGTAAGGACTGAACCTAACAATACCCTGTAAGGTAGTAATGCCTTCATATTACAAATGAGAAGACAGACTTTGAGAGGTTAAGAGATATCTCCAGGGTCACATAGCTCAGGAATTGTGGGGCTGTGATTTGAACCTCAGCTGTCTGGCCTTATGACCCACACACCTCGCCATGATATAATGTTGTCTCCGACAGCCTTTCCCAAGGGTCTTCAGATTGGGGCAGGGGCCAGAGGACCCAGAGAGCTCAAGAACATATTTGAACTGTTAGTGCTATAACTTTTCACCCTCTTCAGTGTCTATTTTACACATATTTTATACTATTCATATAATAGAGAACATATATAATTTAGAAGTTAATAAGTCACAGATACATGTGTAATTATCTACTGAAAGAAGAGTGCAATCAAAAATAACCAAATCCAATTTTACATGCTTATATCTGGTACTCTGAACAACTAATTTGAAGACAACAATATGCAGTGTGACAACCACTGGTGAATTCCTACCATCTTGTTAAGTGAAGCTCTGTATCATTTCTAATGTTTTAAAATATTTTTATTCTCTTTAGTGGTTTGATCAATCTTGCATTCTTACACCTGGTAATCTGAGCAATTTCATTGAAGATAACAATGTTTAATATAATAACCACTGTTAATGCCTATCATTTTGTTTTGAAACTCTGTATCATTTTTTATTGTTTTTGCTTTGTTTTGTTTTTGTCTATGTTGTTGTTATTTTGGGATTTTTAAAATTAAAAAAAAATGGTTGATCACCTGTCTTGACAGACCTGACATGACTGATCCCATAGTTAGGCAAGAGAAAAATCATATATCCTGAGCCCAAGCATACTCTTGGAAAATACATTCCATGTGTATAACTCCCAATCATGATTTTGTGCTCTGCAGAATTAAAGTTTTGACCATGGCAAGTAACTAAAAATTATGACCTTTCTATAGGGCCTCGCCTCAAAGTCATCTAACAAACTGAGTTCATCGCCCTATGTCTAACAGGGTGATTCTTTCACTGCTTATAACAAGATGATCCATATTAGAAACAATAAACACAAGTTAGTTGCCTAATTTTTTAAATTAATGAGTAAAGCTTTATCTTTTTCTAAGACCCCTCTGAAAATGCCTGTAATTTTTCTTTGTTTGAAAAGTAGATTACTTTTAAGTGAATGCTTATCTTTTGGAGATACATTGTACAAACAGAAAATGACATGATCTAAAATATGCTTCAAAATAATCTGCAGTCAAGGAGAGACTGGGATCAGAAGAAGCAGAACCTTCCCAAACTGGTTCATAGATATTTAGGGTACATGATGTTATTCTACCAAATTCTATGTCCTAAAGTGGATACTATTTTAAAACAATTGAAGGCTAAAAAATGCAAATGAATTTTTTTCCAACAGAGCACTGTCAGAACTCATATCTCAACTGAAAAAGGAGAATGATCTAATGTGGGTTTCACAGAAATTATCGTGCACCTGTTCATGCATTCATGAAATACAGTGAGTGTGCACATCTAGGAAACATACACATATTGTTTGCTGTCATATTAGAATTATCCTAAACCTATAAATATAATTAAGAATGAAAAAAGAAT